ATTAAAAAAACCTATACCTAATGCACGCAATTAAACAATTGTGAAATATTCAAGATCCTTACGTATTGGTATATAAATTAAACCATAACAACCAGGCCCGTTCATAGTTTATACTACAGTATTTCCAAATTTCCAATTACCCGAGGATCACTAATGATGGAAGGCGAAGAGACATTTGCAAGCCATCCTTTCTACCCCTGCCTCCTCGACACAGACGCCTTGCCAATACCAGTCTGTTATATATTGGTCCGTGAGGGCGACTTATATTTTCAATTTTATAGTACCAAACCACAAAGCCTCCCGCTGGGCTACATTATTATTATTATTTATTATATGCCTCAGTATTAAATATCATCTCATGAGACGAACGCCAGGGCATACACTTTTACGAAACATATTGCAACTGATGGAGCTATTAAAAAAACATGTTTTAAATAGATTAATAATGGAATAACACGTTAAGCAATTTACGTGAGCCCTACTCGGCTGCTGACAACGTTCAAATCCTCTGAACACATCTCTAGACAATACGTAAATGGTCAACTATAAATTGTCAGCGGTAATCATAATATTGTAAAAAACTGTTTATATTAGTTTTCTCTGGTTACAACTGTATTATTTGGTGAAAACAATATATTATTATTATATAATACTAGGCTTACGGCGTTAACTCTGTTTTTATTATTTTTTAATTTATTTTCTATTTTAAAATTGAATTTTGAGTTGGTCATATAACAATTGCAGCGATCGATAAATGACATAGTTTTTGAGAAACTCAATTTATAAATAATATATCGTATATTATGAGCGTATAATTTTTATATTAACTGATGCCTTCGCAACTCTATTGACAGTTGTATTAATAATTTACGACTGATAGTTGTCAATCGCCGACATCAATTAACGATATGTTTAGTCATCCATTATAGTACACAACGGATAAAAACCACGTGATACATAATTTCGCGGAGTTGAAGAGAATACAACGAAATAATACTTTTATTATTAAAATAAATTTATAACTTTAAGAATAAAAATTGAAAAACATTTCGTTCGTAATACCCTTTGTTAAATACGCCATTGATGTGCCTGTGTGGGTCCACGTGTGCTCTATACACTATAATAATCATACATTATTTCCCGCGTTTTCCATTAAAAAAAAGTACTCTTGATATTTATTATATTATTTTTATTTGTATTTCATCGTATTTTAACCTCATTTAGAGCAATCTTTAAGAGACGGATGTTATGTTATAACTTATATTATTGTTTCAAGTTTACGCGTTCGTGCGTTGTACGATATAATATTATTAAGTTACTGAGATTTCGAAAATATGTATATAATAGTACTAAATAGTTGGAGTGTCGAAAATCGCACTTAAATTTTAATATGGAAATATGTAATATTATTTGGCATTTGCGTGGTAAATATATAACAACAAAAATATTTGTCAATTTCAAAATGATTAAACAATCTGAATAAAAGTAAATTCAACATTTTTCTTTTTAGAAAGAAGTTTTAATAATAAAATATAAAATATATTATACGAGTATTATATAGGTAGGAAATCGATCAGCTCAAAAATATAAAAAAAATGTAATAAAATTATAAAATTATAAGATTTTCAAATGTTTTGTATTGTAATCAAAAACCGTTAATGGTTTTCAATTGTGATATTTTCAATAAATTGTTTACATGTATAATAGTTATTCATAAATTACAGTACTTACATGAATATTTAGTATATATTTACGTAAGCACTATTATCTGTATAATTACAATTTAGTTACATTATTTTATTTTATGATATAAATTTTACTTCCAAAAGAGATAAGTGAATTTAGTCTAATACTATTATCTTTTAAACGGATCTTTAGATATAAAATATTATTATTTTTCCTCGGAAAAAATTACATACCTTCTTTTTATTTAAAATATATAGTTATATATATACCAATAATAACGACGAATAAATCGTATAACCTAATGTAAGATCTGTATCAGGAGTACTCACAGCGGACAAGTTCGTGGTAATACAGATTATTTCTTGAATATTTTCCCCATAACTCTTATATGTTGCATATACTTTTAAATTGCATTATATTCATTCACATGATTTGAGTAATAAAATTATCTATACATTTTGCATTCTGTCTGTGGGTTTATCCTAAAAGAGTGAAGTAAATAATTTCAAAAAATTTAAATATTAATTTGTTAGACCAAATATGAAAGACATAATATTTAAAACCATATTTTATACATAAATTATTAATTATTAACGTATATTTTATAAAAATAAAAATTCACATCATATTTTTTGTTGATAAAATTAAACTTCTACGTTATACATTTTACAATTTATGTGCTTCTTATAAGTATAAAATATTGTTCATAAATTGTATTAATATTAAAAAACAATACCTTACTATTATAGCTTATCCAATCTTTATATTATTCATTACATATTATAGTATTATACATATTTAAATATTTATGTATTCATTACAGTTAATTTTTAAACATTTCATAAGAATACCTAGCATAATTATTAACTATAGATTTATAAGTTTATAGTGTATTTAAGTGAAAAAAGTCGCTCTGCCGTACAGTAGGTTACAAGTGGGTCACTGTGATGTGTAATGGATGGTGTTAAATTTGAATTCAATGATATAATATCATTGTATAAGAAAACCTATTCTGAGCGAAAACGGTCAGTCAGCCAATAATATTACGAAGTATATTTGATGATATTAAGGTGAATAAAGTAATTTATATATAACCTATATAAGTGAAATCTTGTTTTAAAATTTCAATCCTTAGCTATAAAAGTTGAACATTCTATACATTTTTAATTACAAAATTATTATTAAATTTTAAATGTGATAAATGTTGTCAAAATATGAACTTAAATTACTTATAAAAAAAATTGTGCCAATGTATTTTTAAGATTTTACAATCGCTATTTTAACAATACATCAGGAGCCTTGTATTAAATTTTCAAGCTTTTTCGCCCAACAAATAAAATTATATTGGTATTTTTAGAAAAAAAAAACTAAAATTATTGAAAACTGACAATATCCGTAAACAACTCAAAAAGATTCAAATTATTTAAAAAATGGTATGGCGTATAGAAAATGCCAATATAAACATTCAGTGAAATTTTCAAGTAGGTACCTACAGTCATTCGTTTTTTAATTACAATAAAATAAAAAAAATCGTTACAGGAGAAATCGAGTGAACATCAAATGTTGTAAAAATATGAATTTCAAATGCTCATAAAAATTTAATTTGAGTTTCTTGTAGACATTTTTTTTTATATAAAGGTATACAAACTTATGAGGAAGCTTGTATTACATTTTCAAATCTTAGATTTAAAAATAAAATTTTTCATGAATTTCTAACTCAAAATAATTTGCAAATTTTCGTCATTTTTACGTATTTTGCCAATATTTAAACTTTAAATATTTATAAAAAAAAATTGTAACAATGGCTTTTTAATTTTTTTCATCTGCCTTTGAAACAATATACTAGGAGAATTCTATTAAATTTTCAAGCTTCTTTAACCAACAAATAAAATTTTATTTTATATTCAGTCAAAATTTCATATACTTAAGGTAATTTGTTTTTGAGTTGCACCAAAAACCAAAATCGATTTTTTCTAAAACAGATTTAGTGTACAAATTCCCGTTTTTCCTGAATTTTTCTTTTGTTTTTCACGGCACTTTTGAAAACTACTGGGAAATTTTTACTTTTGACCCCCCAAAGTACCAACTAGATTCACTTTCCTATCAGAAAAGATACTGTTGAAGAAAATTTAAGCATTTCTACAAAATATGATGACAGACACAAAAATTTGGGAGCAAAAAATTACATATTAAATAACCAAGAATAACGGTTTTAGTTATTTTGTTGTAATTTTATAATATTAATTTAATTTACCGGCTACTGTGTTAATAATAAATAATAACAATATAAATATAAAATAAAATATCCACACTGACAAACCGTCACCGCTCAGAATGGTTTTTCGTATTTCATGATATTATATCATTGAATTCAAATTTAATACCATGCATCAAACAGTGACCCACTTGAAACCTACTGTACAACAGAGTGACATCCACTTACCCACTTTTTAATTTTACCGTCGTATTAACAAACAATATTTTTGTTTCATATTATAATACAATTTTAAAAAATGATCTTAAAATAATATTTTATAGTTCTTCTAAGAATTTTTATGATTTCATTAAATACGCAGACGACACAACCTACCCAATTTTTCTTAAGTTTAACTAGACAACATCACAGGTTATGTGACATCTGAAATTATTGAACCAATTAATATATGTATTTTTATTTAATAATAACTTTAGGTATAGGAACCTACATTTGTGATAAACGTACAAAAATTGTATATAGCCATATAGGTACCTACTGTAGTACTTGTAAAGTATTTTGAATATTTTTTAATGACAGTACTCGAATACATATTCTGAATACAATTGAAAAGTATATTATTAACAAGACTGATTAGGATGTATTTTAATCTTATTTTAACACAGGGGTTACGTGAACGAATTTTACCCGCAGACAAGAAATTGGCCCGCAGACAAGAAATCGATTTTTTTTAATTATTATTTTTATGCAGAATTAAATGAGGTTTGATTAATGTGTCAAATTTTTTATTTTAATTTTGCCTTTACTTTCCTTGATTAAATATTTACATTGCATTTTGATGGTCCCGAAAAGCTTACCGAATTCTTAATGTGGTTCACCAAAAATATTAATTAGTACAGATTGCTCTACCATGATATGGGTACCATACATCCGAAATGGATACAAATTCGTCGTAAGCCCGGGAAACCTGCTCATCGCTCTTCCATGTCTGAAATGTTATGGTTAAAAAAAATTCATTGCCGACATTGGTAAAAATCATCGGGCTGAGTTTTTTAAAATTTTAGACTGTCCCTGAAAAATTCTATGCAATAGAGGAGACATGATCGGTGTTCCCCGGGAAATCCTGCATTTGGCAATCCCCCGATGTTTGAACATCCGGGTGACTCCTCGTTTCAGGTCCGCGGCGCAGAGTGATCGGCCTGTCGACGGTCGTCGCGGAGTTTGGATTGCTGTGCGACGTGACCGGCCGAACGAACGGAGCGTACGCAGGCCAACTGTCGCTGATCGTGGGCCTGCACTTCTCCGGCGCGCTCGTCCACGTGTACCTGTTCTGTTTCCACGCGCTAACCAAGGCCGTGCCGTGGGACGCCGTCTCGATGGGCGGCGCGCGGGCGCTCAACAACCTGTGGCGGCTGTCCGTGGTCTCCGGTTCCGCGCACTACGCCTCCAAACAGGTGTGTGTCTCTTGTGCGAAAACGGTCCATATGGTAATTTTAACTGCAGGGCTCTTAATCGAATTCAATAAAAAAAAACCCAAGAATCAGGTGTACTCGTGCACTTATGCGCTAAGGAAAATTGAAATCAAACCGAGAATTCAAAAAAAGTATGCAAAATCATGCTAAATATACTTCAAAAATAAATAAACAGTTATGTATATCATATAATATATATATATATATATCAGTGTTACACTATTGACTATTATACTTGGAATGCAAGGCTTACTATGGTGTAATACACATACACTAATAAACAAGTGCAATTTATTTATAATTTAAATAATAAATAACATAATATACAATTATGATAAATACTTTTTTTAAACATATAAATACATTTTTATACTTATTTACGAAATATCATATTATATTTTGAATAAAATTATTTTAAATAAAAAAACAAAACATAATTTATTTGAAAGATAATGAGAATCGCCTTCTTTGAGAAATGTTAAATGGTAGTATGATATTCAAAAACTAAAAATAGTTTAAAACTTCATTTAAAAATGTGGAGCAGACTTTAAAATTGATCACTTCGAGACGTACAAATCAGATAATTCGAAATCGCAGGACGCGTGTTAGTGACATTTCAGGTCTACACGCTTCGTAACCATTCCATTTCCCAATTACTCGCTACACTATATCCACATCAGTTGACACCTGGATATCAGACTAATTTCTCCCAATTCACCAGTCCCTTATTGTTGTGGACAAATCACATATAAGGCCGTTTCTTTCTGCATTACAATACTAAGAGTATTAAACAGTAAGACGTGTCAAAAATAAAAATAATTTCACATAGGTAATTTTCCTAATAATCAAGAAATAATAATTACAAAAAAAAATTAATAAAAATGTATTATTTAAAAAAATAAAGTTACGGATAAATGGAAATATCTACTCAACATCAATTTTTAATAAAATTGATTTTGTTATTTTATTGTAATTCAAAAACAAAGAAATAATAACCCTAAATTAAAACCCTTTAAATGTTTACATTAGCACTTCATATAGAGTAAAATGTACAAAATATTTTTGCTCTTTTTGAGATATTTATAGACATTTCAAATTTTTTAATTTTTTAATTTTTTTCCTTCAATTGATGATAAAAAGTATTAGTTTTAACTAAAAAGTTTGAAAGTATAATACCAGGTTCTTCATAAGTCTATATAGTGGTTTAAAAATATTAAAAATACACAAAACAGAATTTTTTTAAGTATTTGAAGTTGAAGTTTTCAAAAATTTGGTAAATTTAAAATTTGATCTGTAGTTATTCTAACTAACACCTATTATTCAAAAAAAATTTTGTGTCAATATTCATTTTTACCTAATATTATTAAATTTTTATTTGTATAGTTTTTGTTAAATTGTATGATACATGTATTGTACGGTAGATTTTATTAATTACTTAGATATTAAAATAGTGTAAAATGTTTTTACTTAAACAAAACGTAGTTAGGTTAAAATTGAATTATAATGCAAGTATAATGCGTATAATAAAACATAATTACAAAAACAAACGATATGCAATAACGAAATTAGGTAACTCTTACTGAAATATCTGAATGCAAAAGAAAATTACATTTATTTAAATATTAAAACAATTTAATTCTTGGATAATATGGGAAAAAGCAAATTATACAAATCTTCGTATAAACTCTTGACATTAAATTTATAAATTCCACTAAAAGGATTCATTATGTAAAAGTATAAAATTGATCCTATATATGATTATTTCTATATATTATATATATACCAATATATATATTTAATAATACATAATGTAAAAAATTATTTAGTTTTCATTAAACAAAATGTTTATTTTATTTATGAAACTCGTAGTTTTTAAATCTTTGATATATTATGTTTCACTATGGTTTATGCCTAATGCGTTGGTACTTTTTTTTTAAATATCATTAACATTTATTAGTTTTTGTAATATTATATTATGCGGTTTTGTTAATAACATTTAATTTAAATTGATATGTCATCTTTCTATAAGCTGCTTACAAAATTATATTTTAATAATGAGAAATATTTTTGTTAGGTTATAATGTAATATGTATAAAATATACACGAAATAAGTACAGTTATTTAACAATTTTTCAGAAATAAATTAAATTAATTTCTTGTGATATACTATAGCTGACAATCAAAAAGATTATTTTTATAACTAATATTATAATAATGAAGAACGTGTCTTATAAAAAATACAAAATTATTTATCAACGATCTTTATTCAAATGCATTTGACATATGTGAATATGTAATAGATCTTTCATGATATACTTTTGTGTCTGTTCATTCGCTTAACCACCTCTGGGGTTGGAAAGTATGCAATTTATTTGTTCGAATAAATATTGTTCAATATATAGTTTTGAACATTTTCAGGCATTGTATATTTACGAGAGAATGGGCCAAATTCGAACTTCACGTATGGAAACTGAAGACATCGAAGAGGTGTGTACTGCTACTCACTTATCAAAACCCTTTATACCTGTCAATTCTCTCCATGTCTCGTTTTGTGTTGTCTTTATATTGGTAGTCAACCGATATCATTGTCTAGTTGTTTGAAACGTAATCTGATCCCCAGAGTTTCTCGACAGAATATAATTATTTTGTCTAGTCGGATCCTATTATTTGCCTGAAATCTACTGAGTTTCTGAATGAAACGCTTAACTTCCGTAATCTTGGCCAAGTAACAATACCTATACTCTACACGAGGTTGTTTATTGATATGATAGTATATGGTATCAAAGTTAATTCAGTTTAAATAATGACAGAAAATTAATTTTAAAACTGTTAAAAGTATTTATGATATGATTAATGGAGAAGATTAATTAATAAATTTGAGACAAATATGACAAACGAGTATGAAAAATTATGTTCTAAATATCTTAACTATCTACTCTTTAGAGCGAAGTTTAAGAAGGAAAATACACATGTATAACTTAGAATACATGTTATTCAGGACTTCAGGTGTATGGCAATTTTAATATGATTTTATCTAGAATAAACTCTTCAAAATATTTATATGGTTTACATGAGAACCCAACAGAAACTCTGTTTAAGAAAGTAGAAACATATTCGTAGGAGTTGTTGATGAATAATTACAAATAAACGATTTGTTTGGATTTTAAAATGTTTCATTGTAAGATTGTTGAAAAACTCTGTCTTGTTTACGTTAAATGGATAGCAACAATAACGAAAATACCTAGTTATAACTTTTCGTCAACTTAAATTAGTGTGATTGACGAAGGCGGGAGATTCTCCTCAGGTGCATTATCATTAATTTTACCTATTAACACTTTGCAGTATACAATAGTTTTTAGATTTTTTTACAGCTAAGACTAGGTTAGCAATTTAAATATCTACCTAGCAATCTGTGATGAAATAAATTTAGTTACCTCTATTTTCTATAACAAGATTAACATAATACTTTTTTTTTCGCTGTTTTTAATTATTATTATTATTTATTTAATTAGATTGAAATGTTCTTCGTCCAATACAACCAGAATAGCTTGTCGTTAAAATTGTTTGGATCATCGATATTGGATTCGTCTTTAATTATATTGGTGAGGATATGTAAATTATCATAAAAAAAAAATAAATATCGCAATGCTAATATATTTTTTTATATTCAAATATCTATTTCTTTGTTTTAATTTGTTTAGTTTTTATTTTCATAAAATTGGTTAAGACATATTTTTTTTTTTTATTAAAAATAATGATATTTACAATCTGTGTTTACATCACAATAAGTAAATTAGATAATTTATGTACAATATTTGACTTGAAATAATTTGAAGAGGGAGGCCAACCAGTGCTGGAACCCAACGTGAGTTTATTTTAGATTAACAAATCTCTGCAATATTTTCTTTTGAGCCTATGGATGGGGTTTACGGGTTGGGTAGATGAGATTTGTGATATTAATGGGTTAGTATGGGAAGGTAGTTTGAAGTAGAAGGATCTGTAATGTTCGGTGGCTAATTGGTCAACTGACTTAATTTTTAGGTCAGAGTGTAGTGAAGAGTTGGAAACAAACCAAGGAGCAGACGTTATCATACGGAGGGTAATGGACTGAAATGCTTGTATCGTACGAATTTGGGACGGCTTAGCACAGCCCCAAATTTGGATTGCATATGCCCATATTGGACGCAAGAGAGATTTATACATTATAAGTTTGGTGTGCACTGGTAGTTTTGACTTTAAGATCGGACGAAGTAGGTGAAGGCGGCTGTTGAGTGTTTTTCTTTTTTGTTTAAGGTGTGGGCCCCAGGTTAATCTTTTATCAATGGTAATTCCGAGATATTTGACATTTGAAGATGATGGTATTTGAGTACCTTGAAAGTGAACAGGTGGGGGTTCTGTTCTTTTTAAAGTAAATGGTACATAAACAGATTTGTCTGGATTTATTTTTATTCGCCACTTAGTTGTCCAGTTGTCAATGGAATCTAAGTGTGTTTGTAAACAGTTGGATGTTTCGTCAGGATCATTATTAGCACAAAGTATTGCGGTGTCGTCTGCGTAAGTGGCCAAGGTGGTGTTTGTTGTAACTGGTATGTCGGCTGTATAAATATTGAATAGGTCAGGAGAGAGGTCGCTGCCTTGGGGGACAAAGACATATTTTTAAACATTTACCACCACACTCTATATAAATATGTTTACATTTTACTTATATTAAGATTAACATTTCAAAAGCCGGAGACTATATTATAGTGACTATGTGTTATTGTGTTGTACATTTCATCTTGCATTACTCACCAAAATAACAATATTTATAATCGATATGGATTAGAAAAATGTAAGATAACCAGACGAAAATAAATAAGAATGCATTTCAATGTGAAATACTGAAATGTATCTAAGTGCATAACTTTAAATATATATATATAACTAGTAATATATAACTTAAAAATCACTCATATAATTAATTAACAATCGGTTTACATATTAGGTATGTAATGGTGAAAAAAACAATTTTTTAAATATATCGTAATCTTTATTTTGTGATGGATTTCTCATT